GGGCAGCCGGCGGCCGCCGTGTGGCCGCCCACCGCGTACAGGCGGCGCTTGAGTTGGGCCGAGCCGTGGCCGAAGCGGGCGATGAGCATGGGCGCCGCCTTGGACCAGTCCTCGCCCAGCGTGTCGTAGACCCACACGTCCTTGGAGACGCCGTTCTCCGAGCCCCGCCCCCCCGTGATGTACACCTTGCAGCCGATGGCGCAGGCGCTGAATTCCTTGCGGGGGCTGGGGATGTCCGCTTTGGGGACGATCTCCTTGGCCTTCTGGTCCACCAGGTACAGCTTGTCGCACATGAAAGTCCGGCCGCCGAGGAGGAAGAGGGCGTGGCCGGCCCTGCGGGGCCGGGCGCAGCGGCCGCCGCCCTCGTCGCGCAGCTTGCAGCGGATGGCCTCGTCCACCAGCTCCTTGCTCCCGGCCTGTGCCCGGATCAGCTCCTCGCCGGAGACGTTCTCCGTCAGGAAGAGGGCGGGCAGCAGCGCCAGGCGCACCGCCCCCAGGAGCTCCGGCAGGTGGCGCCGGCGCCCCTCCGGGTCGTGGTTGACCCAGCTGAGGGCCGCCTCGTACACCGGCCGCTCGTCCTCCGTCTCCAGCTCTTCGTGGGACAGGAGCCGCACGGCCGTGTCCTTGGGCAGCCGTCGGAAGTCCTCCGTCTTGCGAATGGCGGCGAAGTTGCCCAGGCACATGCTCCACGAGAGCTCGGACAGCCCGGCGCACCGGTGGGCGTCGGAGAGCAGCAGCATGCCCAGGCAGTTGGACGGGTGCAGCCTGCGCTCCAGGAACTGGGCGCAGGCGTCGCGGATGTCTTGGAACTCCAGCATGTCGCCGGCCTCCAGCAGCGACTCGGCGTTCTCCTCGTCGATGAGCACGCGCGACGTGTACGCGTAGTCCAGCAGCAGCTCCAGCACCTCCGGGCGCAGCGAGTCGCCGAAGTCCACCTCGCCGGCCCGGCTCTCGCGCAGCCCGCCGCCGAACGCCGCCTCGAAGTAGCGGCTGCAGGCGGCCAGCACGGCGCGGTGGCACGGGAAGGAGCGGCCGCCGGCGCGGAGGAGCGCGTCGGTGAACAGGCGCTGCCGCCGCAGGGAGTTCAGGTGCACCAGGACGCTGTCGGCGTACGACGACTTGTGGAACAGGTAGATGTTGGCCGAGCCCGCGCTGGCCCGCGACTTCCGGCTCTCGTGGACGCGCGCTGACATTTTCATTGGAATCCTGCAAAGAAAAGCGGGGGGGTCAGGTTCCGACCGTACGCCGCTCACGCCGGCCTTTCTCGCGACGAGGACGCCGTCGTGCCCCTAATTGCAGAATACGTGTGAGTAAACAAGCTTTTTTTTTCTTTCTTTCAGTTTGGAGTCACCATCAAACAGTGAGAAGAAGCCCCCAAGTGCCAAGCAAGGACACGGGGAGGGCCCCGATGAGAGCGTTCTCTGGTCGCCGAACGACTTGTATTGACTCTGCCTACAGCGAAATCATCACCCGGTCTCGATCGACTCCCAAATGTCGCTCGTCACTGTGAAATGTGGCCGTGTTTGTTGAACACAAAGCTATTGTTGACAGGGAACAGGCCCTCTGAGACTATGATCAACGCTTCATTTGAGAGTTGCTGATCATTTTGGAAGAAACGCAACCGCTGCGACGGGATCTTACAAACTGGAAATGGATACATTTAGCCAGTGGATATTCCTGCATCAAAGAATACATCGATCGATTCGAGAAATTTAAAGGGACCCATTGATGCGAGAGCCCCCGCCCCATCAATCAATCAATATACACACACACACACACACACACACACAGTGGTATGAATATCTCGCACCTACTGTATTGCTCATCAATCATTTTGGCCAAGATCTGAACTATTTGTGTCCGTTATTCCAAGGATGAAATGGCGACTGACATCCTTCTCGTGGCCGCTCTCTTTGTGTTCGTTCCTGTTGCATTCGACACTGTGCCTGATAGAGCGGGGTGCCAATCTTGCTGCTCGCTCTCGATCTGATGCTTTTAAAGCAACATATTGATTTTGGAAAAGGCAAGCTCAAACAACGATGGTGTGACCGACCTCTTCGTGGGTGCGCGGGAGTTCAACGTCGCCCGCGGAACTGCTCGGACATGCCCGCAACGCTTGCCTCGCGCTTTCCTCTGGCCCCGGTTCTTCTTCTTCTTCTCCCGTCACCACCGAGCGCAATCCCGGCCCGGTCCTCCGCGACGATACGAAGAAGTGGATTTTGGAGGCGATGTTGACGAGATGCTGCTCGCTCGCTCGCTTCTTCTCTTGTGCTCCAGCTGAGCCCGACGGCCACGCACCACGGCGCGCTGTCGCTTGGCCTCTGTGCAAAGCAAAAGGGCTGATTGGGCGGGGTGTTGGCGGTAGGCGGTGCTTGGCCGCCCCCCCCCCCGTAGCCAATCAAGTGGGAGCAGGAGGAAGCGGGGGCGGGGTGTTGGCATGCAAAAAAAAAAAAAAAAAATGCTGTCAGAACTCGATTTTAATACACCAACACGCTACCTACGTCCATCTCTCCGATTTGCTTCCAAGTGTGTTGTCAATGAGCGGCCCGGTGGTGAAGTGATTAGCGCGTCGGCTTGAATTCCCTCTCCTGCCTCCCTGTGTGGAGTTTGCATGTTCTCCCCGGGCCTGCGTGGGTTTTCTTCGGGTACTCCGGTTCCTCCCACGTTCCAAAAACATGCATGGCAGGCTGATTGACCACTCTAAATTGTCCCGAGGTGTGAGTGTGAGCGCGGAGGGTGGTTCGTCTATGTGTGCCTTGCGATTGGCTGGCAACCAGTTCAGGGTGTCCCCCGCCTACTGCCCGAAGACGGCAGGCTCCAGCACCCCCCCCCCCCGCAACCCATGTGAGGATTAAGCGGATCAGAAAATGGATGCATGGATGAATGTACCATTCAGTATTAAAATACCTTAAGAGGTTGAAACATTTTAATGAGTTGAATTTCTGTTTGAGTTTGCGTGGTTATTACTGTGTTATTGTATGACTAATTTGGACACATTCGTATAGTGAGGCATACAACAGTCTTTGTACGGACATAAAATTGAAATGATCTCAATCCGTTTGCCAAAGGCGCTAATTTAAGTTTCAAAATCTCATTTCTGACAAGTAAAATACGGAAATGTTTTGGCTGGCGACAGAAATACGTGACAACAGTGACACCCAGTGGACAATGTGATTCTCTTCCAAAGAAACGTCCCTAAAATCAAGTGACGCACAAAAAATTACGTTTCGACGGTGAGTGGGGAAACTGTGCCGAAATATCAGCGATGACGACGGAGAATACTAATTTCAAAAAAGAAAAAAGAGCGTCCCCTTTAACCATAACTTCCACTTCCGCAAAGTGTCCGCGTGCCTTTGGCCCCGCCCATTGGACGTTACCCGGCTGCTGATCGCAGTCCGCATCTCGTGACATTTTACTGTCCGCTCGTCGCCGGGTCATGTTTTCCTCCAACGTTTTTGTCCTGTGGGGGGTCTTGTCGTCCTGCTGGGGTCTCCGGCAGGACGCCCGGGTCGACGAGGAGCTCGCCCGGTCCCCACGGCCCTCCAAATGGGGGTCGTTGTGGCCGCTACCCCAGCGAGTGGCCACTTTCGACGTGTCGTTCAAGTTGGCCGCCGCCAGCTTTCAAATGTTGGACGGCAACGGGTCGTCGGCGGGGCCGAGCTGCAGCCTCCTGCAGGACGCGTACAGGAGGTGAGCCTGTTTTCGCTTGAAAACGTGTTCTTTCGACCTCAACAATCGACTTGAGGACAAACACTGAAAAGTTGATTTCGGAGAAGAAACCTGAAAAATCAAGGATTGCAATCCAACTACAGTATTTCCTCGTCGATTTTCAGGTATTCATCCAAAATCAAACCCGTTGCCATATCAGGACACTTTTACGGATGTGATGCAAGTCTAAAAAAAAAAAAACAAAGCCAAAACGTAGTGCCGGACTTCCCAGATGTTGCCACAGCAGTTCTCCGAGCGATGCCGCCCTGTGCGGTCGCAAATATTACACATGCCAGAGACTACACGGTGTCAAATGCCTTCACCCGCCCACCTTTGTTTTTAATGTATTTTCCTTTCCAGGTACGACAAGTACATTTTTGGCGGGGTGAAACCCGAGCGGCCACGCGCACGAGACAGGAGGACCGACTTTCCTGTACTGATGGGACTGCAGGTATTGATTACAGACCCGGAGCCGGAGTGCGACCAGTACCCCAGTGTGACGTCTGACGAGTCATGTAAGGTCATCAATCATTGACTCACGATTGCTTTACAGTCCATTCTCGCAAACATATCAGTCGATGCGCCGTTTCAACTTTGTATAAAGTCATATGGTGCTGAGCCCGGCAGGACGGAGACGTAACGAGTTTGCGTCACGGGTCCCGTTTCCTGTCTCCGGTCGATCCGCGGTACCCTTTTCTTCCTCGGAATGACTTTAGTGTACTATAAAGTTACTCGGAGTGCTTCAATAATGTCACGCCATGCCCAATACAAAACAACATGCGTGTGTCTTCAGATGAGCTGTTGGTGGACCGGGCCTTTGCGATCCTGAAGGCGCCAAAAGTCTGGGGCGCCTTGCGTGGTACGCTCTTTTTCCTCAAATGTATATTTTTTTTCATCCTCTCTTGTTGAATCTTGAAATGTTGTCGGTTTAAAAGAGGAACAAGGACGCTCGAATTTTGGAAGCAAAACAACCATTGCGTCAACACGGAAACAGTGCAATCACTTTTCTGCAAACTTGCCATTTGAATCCAGTCCAGATATCTTTGGATCTGTTTTTAGGTCTGGAAACATTCAGTCAGTTGGTGTACGAGGATGACTTTGGGGCTGTAAGTGGACGCGCTCATGCTTAAAATGATGAAATTCCCGTTGGCAGTCTATTTTCAATTCCTCACCAGTGTTGTTCGTGTCGTTCAGCTTTGTGTTTGTCTTTCCAGAAACTCGTCAATTGGACCCAAATCAGCGACTATCCCCGATTTGCACACCGTGGCCTTTTGCTGGACACCTCGCGACACTTCCTGCCTGTCAAAGTCATTCTGGCCAATCTGGTAAGCCACCAAAAGGTCAAATTTGAAGCTGGTGACTTTTCAAAACAACATCTCTTTCCCCCCCCCTCCAGGAAACGATGGCAATGAACAAGTTTAATGTCTTCCACTGGCACATTGTCGACGATCAATCCTTCCCGTACATGAGCCGAACATTCCCGGACCTCAGCCAGAAGGTCGGCAAACGATGACGTTCGCAGCGGATGGCGAGGCGAGCGCCTTGCTATCCGAGCGCCACGGATAAGTTTGGATTGCTCGCGTCGGTCCAACAACATTGATTGACTTGACAAACACAGACAGGAACTGGCTCCCATTGCTTGCCTCACCTAAGCAGCGTTTGAGAAACGAGCTAATTTGTTCGATGAACTCCCAAAGCTCTTTGGATGCCAAATGCTTGCTCAGAATGGGATCCGAATCGATAGCCGGCTGATGAAGCTCATTTGACTCATTTGGCTTTGCATTTTGTGCCAGTTAAGAAACGCAACTTTTTGCTCCTTCCCCTACAGGGGGCGTACCACCCTTACACTCACGTGTACACCCCGTCCGACGTGAAGACCATCATCGAATTCGCTCGCCTGCGAGGCATCCGCGTCATCCCCGAATTCGACACTCCGGGCCACACGCAGTCTTGGGGGAAAGGTTGTTGTCGTCGTCCCTCGTCAGCCGCCGTACTCGGCGTTGCGTTCTTGAGGCGCGCGTCTCCAAAACATCACAGCTCACGATCTCCAACGAAACGGGCTTGCTCACAGGCATCTCAAGTCACTGTTCTTACGGTCTTAAAAAACACACACACAAAACAAAAACACATCCAGACTGTGAACGTTGAGGCGACATTATGCAGCGTGAGTTTTCCAACACTTCTCAGACAGTTACGGCGCTGGAGAGTTCAGAGATGATTGTCTCTCGTTTTTTTTCTCCCCGCACTTTCAATGCATCGCTAATGCGGATGTGGGAAGAGCCCACTCGCGTGGATTTGTTCAAGTCCAACACGACTCTCTCCGTCCCTCCCCAGGACAGGCGGGTCTCCTGACGCCGTGCTTCGCCGGCTCCCGGCCCTCGGGGAGCTTCGGCCCGGTCAACCCCATTCTCAACAGCACGTACGACTTCATGCGCCGCCTCTTCCGGGAGGTGGCCGCCGTCTTCCCCGACGACTACGTTCACCTCGGCGGCGA